TCCCTTTGACTTGATTAAAACGATAATTTAAAGGCGGTCCAATTTATTAAAATGGACTCAATTTGAGTTGATTTTGTTTAAATAAAATTTAAAATATTTTATTTTATTTAAAAAATTAATATAATTAAGCTCGATCATAATAATTATGAATTTTAAATTTATTTGAGCTGATTTTAAATAATCAAAACATTTTTAAAATATTATTTTATTTTTTTTAAATTACTTTTAATTTTTAAATAATTCTGTTAAGTATCAAATATTATTTTGACTTTAAAAGAAGAAAAAATAATAATTTATTAACTTTATATTTAAGTAATTCTATTACTATTTTGTTATATTATGTATAGTTTATTCATAAATATTTTCTTTATTTATAAATTAATGTCTTAATTGTTTAAATATTGCTTTTATCATGATCATATATAAATATTTTATATATTTTAATTAAATTAAATTATTTTAATTATGATCAAGTTAAATATAATTTAATTATGATTAGACCATTAACTTAAAATTATTACCTCAATTAGTTCAAAATTTTAAACAAAATAATCATCATTATATTATATAAAATAAAATCATTTTAATTATGAGTAAAATATTATTTTTTTAAATTATTTTTTCTTTAACTTTTTATAGTGTTTAACCCCTACACATAAGAAATATTTATTCTAATTTATTTTTAATTTGTAATTAAGTCTGACGTAAATGATAACCAAATAAATATATAAGAATATTGTTTCATGTATTATGTTTATTTGGTAGTGGAGTTGAGAATTCCACTATGCCCAAATTTTATTTTTAAAAATATTTTTAATTTAATTTTTACTTTAAAATTAATTATCTTATTTTATAAAAAATATAAAATATATTTTTTTGGATACTCAAATGATGTATAGGATTCAAACAAATTTTTAAAAAATAATTAGATCTTAAAATATAAAAATTAATATTAAAATATATTTTAAATATTAATTTGAGATATTTTATTGATTAAAAATAATGAAAATATAAATATTTTTATTTTTTTAAAAATAAACTATAGTAATGCACTTAAATATATAATATTTCAATATAAAATAATATAAAAATTAAGAATTATTTATTATTTATTATATTTTATATTTTATATATTTTTTAAAAATATTTTTTTATTTAGGTATTCGGGCTTAGTCTAAACGCGATCAAGCTTAACCTAAATTTTTTAGGTTCTATTCGAGTCAGCTTGAATGAGCCCAAACATTAAAAAATATTATTTTTGTTAGCTCAACCCTAAATTTTTTGGATAGATTCAAGTTGACCTATCAAGTTTAGTTTAAATCATCGACTTTAGACCTTCTTCACTTCTAACCCAATCAAAACTTAATTTTGTCCTTATAAAGCCTTAAAAGTGACCGAGATTATTTTAATAAGCTTCAAAAATTTCAAATTTGGTTTTGGTACCATTGGTCCGACTTTGTTTAATTTTGTGTTTGCTAAAACTAATTCTAGTAAAATTGACTCTGCAAATTTGGCTTTAGGCAAAATTGAGGTCTATTATGATAATTTTGTTTCTCCGATAGTAACGTATTTCATCCTCTTACATGGTTGTGATTCCTTTGTGTAAACATCCTGTTTTTTCTAAGTTTAACTACTTTTCATTTCGGGATTTGATGGTGAATTAGGGTTCAAATAATTGAGATTGATCTTCTGCCTACATCTCCATTTTGATTTTTTACATAAACAAAAAATAACATCAGCCTCTTGCCATTTATTTGTAATTTAGAAGACTTGATCTATATTAATTTTTTTATTAGGTACTTATTTATAATTTTTAAAGCCTTTTCTATGATTTTCTTAAACAACTAACGATTAAATTAATAGACAACATACGAGGAGCGATATTACTCCGTTTTAGTACATGAGGGATGACATGGTATCATCTTTAAATTGAGGGCTCATTGGTGTTCGAAAATATTAAAGAAATTGAAAGGAAAAATCAACACTTTAAGCCATAATTTAATAAGTAAATTATACGTACAAATTAAATATACAATAACAAACATAAATGACTAAAATAATGTATAGGATGATGTCATCAATAAATTTAATATCTAAATCAAAATAATGTGTGCAGGAAATAGTCACGATTCGACCTTTTACTTCCTTGTCCTTTCTTTAAGGTTTTTTGTTTGAATTCAATGCAAAATGACAATGTTATTATTTATTGTCACTTGTAATTTGAGTTCTCAGTACGGACGAAGAAAGATCATAATGAAAAAGAACTCACACACCCACTCCTGTGAGTAGTTAAGAAAGGACGGAGTCTCGAACGGATTCATTTAGTTCACTATCTTAATAAATGACCCACGTTTTTTAAAAGAAATCTGGTTGGATTGGACCAAGCCCATGTATAGCAGATAATGCAATTGCTCTCGGTCCTTATTAGGTTGGGTTGGTTTGATAAATGGGCCGACATTTTCAAATAGAATTGGTAGACTCAATAGTCATTAGGAATGCAAATTCTATCCTGGAAGAATCATTTGACATTCAACAACCACAAACTAGTGTTCTCTGCTTACAATCCTTAATTAATTTATGAAAAAATGAGAACGCATGATAATAACATCTCTAAACTTAAAAATTTTGCTATGTACCAGTGCCCGAGAATATATATATTTATATATCTCAAAACTCAAATACATGGTGAAATTCACATTACATTTTAATTTAAAATATTAAGACTTAAGTTTAAGAGCCTTTTTACTATAAATGACTAGTGACCATGATCCAGAGTGGTGGGAGGGGAACCGCGGGGCACAGTAGGTGAGCTTGGCAAACTACCCAGTTTCCTCATATTCATTGTATCTGCAAACTAAACAAAACATCATCAGCTCACACATTCATTTAATTGAATTCCCAATTTCTTTAGGGTCCATTTAAATTCACTACATTTAACTTTTTGAAAGCACATTTCTACATTTAAAAAGTTAAATATTATTTGGCTACTTTAAAACTATCCAAAATGACTTTCTAAAAGCACATTCAAAAGCAACCAAAATGTAAATTTGCTAGCATAACTCAATGAAGCTTTTCAAAAGCACATTCACATTTTCTTCCGTCCAATTGCTCCTAGACATGTCAGAAAAATAACCCATTTGCATGTGATTTGATGATTTATTTTGTTCAATTACATGGCACTGCACCATCAGCAATTATCTTGCAGCAATTTCCTTTTACTGTGCTTCCATTCCCATAGTGGGTGATTTTTTTTTTTTGTATCAAATTATTTTTAGATCAAATTATTTTGCTTCCATTCCATTACTTTGCTTTTATATCAAATTATTTTTATATTTTCCTTTCTTTTCTCCTGCTTCAGTGATTTTTTTTTTTGCATTTTCATCCGTTATTTCTTTTTACATTAATTTCTCCTAGTTAAGTGATAAATTTTTATTAAAATTAATTAAATAAGTTATTAATAATTATTGTGTTATCTATGTATATTACTCATCTATAATTTATAATTAATTAATTAACATATTCCCTTAGCCAACATCCAAGGGAATATTATAATTAATATTCTCTCCATCCAAATTTACAAAACATTCTTTTTTTGGAAATTACACATATAAAGAAAGTTCATTAAATACAATTTATAATCTTCATTTTTATAAGACATTTTAATTTAATGTGAAGCATTTGTATAACAAAAAATTACAAATAATAAAAATTAATACCCTTTTTTATAATTGTATATTTAAAAATACATTTTACTATATATAATCCAAACAACTTTTAATTTATCAAACTAATTTTTGAAAAAATGGATCTAAACATAAATTTTATTATAACAACTAACTTTTATTAAATTAATTTTTATCAAATGAACTTTATCAAACTAACTTTTATCAAATTAAAAACCTAACACACACTTATTCTGTTGAGGGTATGTAATGACAAAGATTGTCAAAATGAGAGCGAAGCAAGAAGATAGGTCTCGCTCCTGCACAAACCTGAAGAAACTTCAGTGGACAGAACGGCGATAAGAATGGAGATGAATAATATTCTTCTCTCTTAATTCTTCTCTTTCTTCCTATTGGTTTTCCCTTCCTCATCTATCATCTTACACCTCCAATTTATTTACTCATTATCACACTAATTTATTCAGTATACATAATTTGGCCAATAACAATTGAGAGAGCCAACGTCGTTGTCACACGTAAAACACGAGATTCAAATGAAAATTAGACCGCCCCAATATTTGAACCTCACAAACAATATTTTACAATAATTTTAAAAAATAAAAAAGCTGAAGAGGGATCTATGAATGAATTATGAGAAGATATTACTACTAAAGAATGCTTAATTACAATAACGCCAATAAATATTTATGAGGGATATAGTGCTTTTTTTTTTACTTTTTTTTTGTTTTGAAAAAGTCATTTGGTACTCAATACTATTATTTACTAACATGGATTTCGGTACGTAGGTTGTCCCAGGAGAAAAATTAAATTCCAGCTGTATCGAGATTAATTAAAGAGCTGTAATGGGTCATTTCAAATCTGTTTTATTTATTTCTTGTTTCAGTCCTTCATTCTAATTACAATTTTTGAGGGGATCTAATTTGTTCCTTCATTACGTGTGATTCTCCCAAGATTCAATCGTGCATAATTTCAAAATATTCCAGAGGAAACCAGCTGGCAAAGTAGGATCAGTTACAATTAGCATTGACTATATATATTCCATAGCCCTCGTAGTGGCCGAGGCACATACAATTGAGGGTGGGCAAATACCCTCCCTCAACTTGAAAAATTTATAAGGAGTGGGTACAACAGTTTTAAATCCATTAGACCTAAACTAAATATATTTGAATTTTTAAAAATTGGGTGTTTTTATATTTCACTTAAGATTTTAAATTTTGAATCCATCGTATTTAAATTTAAATTATTTTTATAAAAATATCATTTTAATTTTTCTTTTTTATTATTGTTTTACAAAGTGTATTGGCCCACTCTTGAGAATTTAGAGAAGAATGATTACGGTGTTGAATATTACAATAAAGAAGTTACATAAGTTTCCCTGTAAAATTGAAGACCAGCTTCTGCAATTTACTCGCTCTGCATGTAAGGAAAGAATAATAGAGACGTGATCATATGAGAATACATAGATCCTTTATTAATTGTGTTGATCATTCCCAAAAATGTCTAGCTATACTTCGGTGGTGGAGGTGGTCGTGCTAGAGGTGGTTTGAAAATTGGTGCTTTACGCAGAGACCCTTTTGGTGGAGGTGGTGTTCTTGGCAAAGATCCAGCCAGTTTCCTCATCGTCATGCCTGCATATGTATGTGTCTATGTTAAGGAATAGGGAGTGACAGCTCATAAATAAGAACAGCGTAAGGGTTTAAGTTTATGATTGAGTAATTTCACTTTATTATATAGTAGTTATCAAAGTAAACTTTATCTGAGAGGAGATTTCATACACATCAACTTAGTATAAGTCTGCTTACATTTGATACATTTGAACATCCTGGCAATACATATTTAATATGGATCCCATATCATTATTATTAAGGTGAGTACGACCAATTTTGCGTCTTCCAAAATGAGGAACTACACAATGACTGTATTATGTAAAGTATAAGATTGTATAACAAATACAGAAACATACCTGCATTAACGTTGGGGCACTGCAAGAAAAGAGAGGAAACGATAACTAGAAGAGCCATCAGAAAACGGTAAAGAGAAGACACGCCCATCGATCTCTATTCTTCTTAGTTATGGATATGCTAATCCTTGCCAGCAGATAGCTTTAGCTATTTGCTTCGATGCGTTCAAATTTATATAGTTTTCAAAGCAGATACTTACATCAACTTGTATTAGAATAATCATTTGTGAACTTGTGCATTGTTTTCGAACATGTAACTTCACAGAAAAAGGCCCAGTAATGTTGATGTTTGACGTGACCTAGATATAGAATATCAATGGTGGGCATATATGGCAGTACCAGTCAGCGACAACGCGTTTTGATTCTTACACACCAATCATGTTTCATTTTCTGTTCCTAGTCAATAATGAGTTCTGTATTTATTATGAAAATGAAGGCAGGTCAAACAATGCTAGCAGAAAAATCAAAAATATTGTTGGGTAGGTGTAAAGGTGCGGGAAGGTTAATTTTAGTCTTCTAATTAATTACAGTTTTGGTTGCGATTGCAATGCATTGCGTAGTTGTGATATACTATCTCCTTCATTTCAATGATTAATAAAGATATTAAATTGCAATAATTAGGAAGAAAGATATTAGATAGCTTGATACATGCAAATTATCTCAACGCCGGATAAAATCTAGTTTCTCTGCTCATTTTAAATTTGGATATACTAAAAATAAAAATTTAATGGTCCACGTAAATAATGAAAAATGTAATGGAAAACAAATATATTATACCAAAAATACCCATTATTTGATATGTATATAGTTAAATAATATATATTTAATTTTTTATGTAAGATTATAAATTCATTTCAAACCAATTGATAAGAAAATGAACACAATTAGCACTAAGAAAAATATGAGGTCATTGACTTGAGTTTTGGGAAGGCACACTTGAATCCTTAGCTCGAATTCATCACCTCACATTTCTCTGTGTTCACTTCTTTACTAATAAAGTTAAAATGAATTTCTTCTTTTGATATAAAAAATATATATCAAACAATATATTATTAAAAAATATACGAACTAGCTATTCGAATGCTTGGAAGGCTTGAGAATTGAAGTTAAGTAACCAGAAAATTCGGCCAAAAAAAAAGAAAACCTAACCAGGAAATGAGTCTCTTTTCAATTTTTCTAGATTTGAAAACTAAGGCCCGCCAAACCCTTCATCGAATATTAAGCTTCAAAATGCTCGCCATCACTAGACATCTCAATTAGCTGTAAACACACAGATATTAGCCCCATCATTTGACTTATTGACTAGCTCATAAATTCCACGGCCCTTGCAAAGTGTATTAGTCCAGATGATGGAGTTCAATATTACAATGAAGAAATTACGTATATATATGCTCCTTGCACATGTGAAATCCAGATTCTGCTACTCACTCGCTCCATGAAGAAAAGAAACAGATATGCAAACACACACACATCCTTTATTAATTCTCTTGATCATTCTAGAAAATGTCTAGCTATAGTGCGGTGGAGGTGGAGGAAATTGGGTCGGACCCGGCCGTGGTGGCGGTGGAGGGGATTTGAAAGCTGGAACTCTGGGCACAGACCCATTCGGTGGAGGTGGTCTACTTGGCAGAGAACCAGCCAGTTTCCTCATCGTCATACCTGCACATGTAATAGCTCCTGTCATGAATTCTCATTATTTTTTAAACTCTTTTTTCTTTCTTTCAAAATCATGTCAAAACATACATGTAATGGAATGGGAGTAACCACTCGAGAGAAAGATCGTTGGGTAAGGATGTCATAGGTTAATTCAAAAGCTCTTGTTTTATTTACTGTGAGACTTTATATATCAACTAAAATCTACTAATATTCTAACTATCTATATTTAATCTGATGATACCATATTACAGTCTATTAAGGTGAGTACAACCAATTTTGCGTCTTCCAAATTAGTGAACTCTACACACACACAATGATGGTCTAGTATAAGGCTGTAAAAAATACAGACGCATACCTGCATTAGCGTTGGGGCACTGCAAGAAAAGAGTGGAAACGATAACTAGAAGAGCCATCAGAAAACGGCATAGAGAAAACACACCCATCGATCTCTATTCTTCTTGTTTATGGATATGGTAATTCTAGTATTAGCTAGCTTTAGCTATTTGCTTCAATGCGATCAACTTTATAAGTTTTTCAAAGCAAATGTACCTATATCGACTTGGATTTGAATCATTAATCATTTGCGAACTTGTGCATATTTTCAAACATGTGACTTCACAAAAAAGGACCATTATTAACACTGATGTTTGACATAACCTGGCTATAGAATATTAATGGGCATACAGCGCTTTCTTGTACATCAAGCTTGTTTCATTTTCTGTTCCTAGTCAACAACGTGTTCTGTATTTAGCCAGGTCAAACAATGTTTAGCGGAGAAAAATGTTGTTGGCGTGGGCTATCGTGGTCTACAAATTAAATCCATTCATTAAATCCCAGAGATCTTTATATAATACTATAACATAGTCACATTATTCATGAATACTGATTAATATGAATTATTTCTTAAACTTTATATCATACGCCAAACCCACGTGTAATTGAAAAGTAAAAAGAAACACAGTTTTGTCAGGTTGAAGCGTGCAGGGATCAAACTCTTCCAGAGTGCATGAATTTTCTAAATTACAGTTTTGGGCGATTGCGATTGCATTGCGTCGTTGTGATACACTCTCTCTTTCATCCCAATGATTAAGAACGATATTAAATTACAATGATCGAACATATTAAAAATAGGTTCAATTATATGAAAATTTAGTTATATGTAGATCTTTAATTTATGTTAGGAAGTTATTTTTACAAGTAATAATGCACTGGAGCTCCGACTGTCATTATTTTCGTTAATAAAAAAATATAGCGGTAAAATAGAATAATTAAAGCTTGCCACCGCCACGCTTTCGAGCCTTGGCAAGGCACACTTGAATCCCTAAAAGGAACGCAATTATGCGTGCTTTGTGATGTCCAGGGCAATGTTGCTTTGTGATGTCCAGGGCAATGTTGCTTTGTTTTCTAATAATCTAAGAAGAAAATCTCTTATGGATAACGAATGAAATATGCAACAACAAAAGGATAAAACCTTCGACTGTGATACCATGTTGCATCAGTGAGGCACAGACACTGTTCAACAGTAAGGCTATCCATTAATTTAATCACCTTACATTCGCTGCCCTAGGGCATTATTATTTCATGCCATAATATAATCTCTTGAAGAAATTAAACAACCCATATTTACACGTACACATGCGTTCTGGTCTGGAAATTGAAGGTTCTATAGTGGCGGCGGCGGTGGGGCCACTGAAGGGACACGTGGACGTCGGCGAGGAGTCCAAACAGGAGATCGTTTCGGTGGAGGTGGGGCCCTCGGCAGGGCGCCTGCCAGTTTTCTCATGGTCATCCCTGCATAATAGCAATTCTAAATCTCACCACTCCATATATTTATGATTTATTATAAATACTAAATAACGTGAGTTGACTCATTATTTCTCAACCTCATGTTTAAAAAGTATATGTGGATCCGAATATACATGTTGAAACAGAGTAGAGAGTACGTATAGTAAGCTGTGATGAGGCATGCCTGCAGTGTCATTGTGGGAGTGAAAGCAGAGATTGGAGGCGAGAAGAAGCAGCAGCAGCAGCAGCATCAGAAAATGGGACCCATACGATGACACTCCCATTGATCTCTCTCCTGGGTGGATATGCTTATGCTATACGTAGCTATATAGCTAGTAGCTTCATCGATTACGTCCAAATTTATAAATGTTTCCAAGCAAATCATGCAAATTAAATCTCATTGACTTCAATATAGATCCGATTGACTTGCCGATACATGTAACTTCGCAGAAGCACCTCTACGATATGCCTAATTGACCGACTTCACTCAGATTCCATCTTCGGACACCAATGCTTTTACCTTTTTTTTTTTTTTAACTTTTCTATATTGCTATTTTGAAATAAATAATAAATTTTTCATGAGATTCTCGACCCAACAACTTGCCTAAAACCTTTTTTCTATTTTTAAAATATTAATTATTTTTACCAAGTGGGAAAAAAATATTAGAACACGCTTTCTCGTTCATTAAACTTTGGTTTTCGTAGTATTATTTTCTTCCATAGCCGACAAGGTGGACAGAATTTAATGATTTATATTAGAAGCAGCCAGCTGGAGAAGCAGAAGTGAATTGGAAAAATAAATGTCGTGGGGTGGGTGGTCCCAGAATGAAAAGTAAACAATATTCTCCATAGGAGTCGATTGTACTGTCGAGGTTCAACATTTTCCAGAAGGCTTGGTGTCATATATAATAACACTGGCATTGTAAAATAAATAAAACATAGAAATTAAGTAAAGCTTTACTCATAAGTTATAAATAGTATCAAACTCGAACTTTGTTGAAAAATAGTCCAGTCCAGATGAATAGTCCATCTTTATGTTTATGGGCTTTCGTTTTGGGCCTGGATATTTTTGGTTCCTATCGTATTCGTTCAGATTTCTTCTAGCTTTCTTGATTCTGTTTTGAGGCCTATATAAACTTTGGATAGCCCAGGTTTTTTGTTGAGAAAAGACGATGGGGCTTTGCCCAGTCATGTGCTTAGTTTTATCATCTAAATTGTTTATTCAGCTCTATGATTTTCCAACAAACTTTACATGAAACATATGTCTAATCTAGTTATTAAAAAAAAAGCCTGTTAAATGGCTCAATTCGTATTTTATTAGAGAAAAACAGGAGAGATCCGAATGTTTACCGATATAACACACTACTGCTATAATATAGCTTAGAGTTTCTGAAATATATCATGCATGTCTTCATGTTTCCATTATTCTTTAAAATTATAAGAAACGTTTAACAAGTTTTACACAAATTAAGGTTTTTTTTTAATTAGAGAGCAGGCACTAACAGACTGAGATTGCAAATTAAGAAAATATAATTAAACTAGTTAAAATTAATTATTCTCATTAAATATGTCTCCCTTTTCAATAATTTTTTAAAACTACCCTTCATCAATAAAAAATTATAACATGGGAAAATTAAGAAGAGGGATTAATACTGTTAAAATTTAATATAAAGGATTATAAAAATTAAAACTAGGGTGAAGGACCAAGATAAGTGTAATTAACTATTACAATCTTAGTATAAAATCCGTCAATAATTTCTTAACAGGGCAAAGGAAGTAACTTACTTTATATAACCTCTCAAAAGTATTAGTACTCCGATCCGATGCCCCAGAGGGCTCGCTCGCTTTGTTGCTTGCTAGGATTCCGCCACGCGAAGAAGAAGAATAAATATATCACTGTCTCTCTTGCTCCCTTTGCGCTACCAAATCTGAACCGCCATCTAAAATGATCAGGAGAGGAACAGAACGATCGGGATCCATCCAAAAATGAAGAACCTTTGTTAGAGAGAATGAGAAACTTGCTTGAATATCAGAACAGAGAGCACAGAATGAAATTAATGGATGAAGAAAAAGAGGATGTGTAAGAAAAACCTGTCGTCTGGATTTAAGGGGCATGAATACGAATTGCAAGGAAAGCAGAGTGAACAGAACGATCTGGTAGTAAAGAAACTGTAAGCCAATATAAGATAATGATTCCTGGTGACGACTGATATGATACAAGGAATAGGGAAGAATACGAATGGCTTCAAAGAAATGCGAAAGGAACGATCTCTCGGCTGCAAAACTGGAATGAAATTAAAAAAAAAAAAAGAAATGGAATACTCTTATATATAAAAACGGAAGCAGTATCTATCCTATGATTCAACATATCCGTACACTCAACGGGTCAAAAACTAGTAAAAAAATTTTAAAAAAATGGTAGCCATGGGAGATGCGATTCTAATAATTGGTAATTGTAATAATTAAGTAACATAATAACTGAATTAATTGGTGATTGTATTCCATGTTTATATATTTTTGGTTGAAGAGAATGGTGCTTCTCGCACCAAAAATAAAATCAAGTGAGTGGTTGATTTGGTCTAGCGATATACGTTCTCAAGAGAGATTTAAAAGGACAAAAGTAAAATCAAGTGCTTTATATCCCTTTGGCCCATTGGTCCAATCAAATTTTGACACTGAAAAAAAAAATAAAGCACAAGCAAAATTTCATTGGAGAATGGACCCAATGACGATAAAGTACTTGACTTTTAATTTTGTCCTTTTAAAATACGCCATTTTGTATGGTCAAAAATCAAGACAAAGCACCTTTCACAGGGGACTGACTAATCATGATGATTGGGTCCAATTGTGAGGGGGCTGAAGAATGATGATACACACTTTGGAACTGATTTAATAATATTTTGGTTTTCAATATATTCTCTCACCTTGTAATGGGTTTTTTTTTTTTTTTTCGGTTTGAATTGAAAAAAAAAACAAAAGAATGTTTTATTTATAACATCAAGGACTCACGATTTGCGTCTTAAATTCCGACGCCTAATCAATTGAGAATGGCCGGAAGGTAAACCCAATAATAAATACTTGCATGGAAATTTAGTAATGATGAAACACGTTCTATTATAAATGAGTTTTATTGTAAGTGTACATTTCCTCAGGATTTGTTGAGCTCCGTTTGGAAAAATGGGGAAATAGAAGAGTCATGGGGAAGAGCAGTGGACAATAATTGCTATCTTGTAAATGGAGAACGCTGGACCATTGGAGTTAATGCTCCCATGAATTTTGAATTATACATTCGAAATTTGAAAATGGAGAGGTCGCCCATGGCAACTGAAGCAATATAATGGGATGCATAATAAATGGAATGGACCAATGAGAGAGAAGAATTAACATGTTAACAAAGTGTGCTGACCAATCAGAGTGGAGAGATTTTCATGTGACCAATCAGAATCATCTTATGAGATTTGAATTAATATGTATAATTAAAAGTTCTTAGGAACAATAGATAATTAATACTCTCTCCGTTTTAAATTATAAAGTATTTTAAAGGAGTTTTTCTATTTTAAAATATAAAACATTTTAAGTAGATTAAGATTTTATTAAATGCATCAATTTCAATATTACCTTTTTTCTCTTTATAATTAATTTTCATCTTTTTTAATGTATCATATGATGTGCACTTTTGAAATTTTATATTTTTGTTTTGAAAAGATAAGGTTATTAAGTATATTTAATAGTATTTATTAGTATGTAAATTTTATCTAAAATACCTTATAATTGAGACAAAGGTAGTAATTCTTTTTTTTTTCCAGTGAACAATAATTAATACTTCATATAATTAAGGAAGGCAGAGTTATATATATATAGGCTAAATTACACACTATTCCTTTGACTTTGGGACCATGTACATATTACCCCCTTGACTTTTAAAATTTTATAATGAACCCCCCAACCCTTATATTTATACAGATAACTTCATATAATTAATTTCATACATTAATTACCTATATATAATTTAAAATTTAGGGGTTATCTGTATGTCAATCAAATTTTGAGAGGCTTAAATACACATAAAAATAAAGTCTAAGGTGGTATATAATTGATAGCTAAGGTTGTTTGCATAAATTTAGAAGCTCAATGAGATTTATTATTAAGTTTCAAAGGGTAAAAGCAGTTATTTGTACATGATTCAAAGTTTAGGAAAGTTTTGTGTAATTTAGCCATATATATAATATAAATTTTGGGTTGAAACAAGCAATAAAAATATTTGTGAATTAATTAATAGTCTTGGCCACGTACATATTGAAACATGCAGAACAATAATCCTTACTTTCATTTAAATGAATGGTTTACAGCAAAACTTGATATATGTTGACGGAGTATGCTCACATCGAATTGAGGGCTTGCGATGGCAACATCAGTCAAACAAAACACATAATTAAAGAGATACATTGTCAATGTCAACGTTGGATTCAAATTAATAAACTAATGTTTTATTTTGGTATTTAAAGAAGGCGAAGGAAAAAAATGTTTATTTTGGTATATCTATATATGAAAGGGAAATAGAATCTAATCCACTGGATATATTTTGATCGAGTCAAGCTGCTTTGTTCAATATTTCTTTTATTTTCCTTTCTTTCTTTTTTTATTGGTGGTTAATTTGAAACCTGCAGTACAATACTTGGGTAAATTGTAATCGTTTTTCTTACGTTTCTCTAGCCACGTAAATGTTGAAACATGCATGACGATTATCCTTTTATTTGAAATAACAAATTATACAAATCATGCTCACACCTAATTGACATGGACTTGTGATGGTAACATCACTAAATAAAACGGATAATTAAAGAGGTATTGTCAATATCGACGTTAGATTAATTAGTCAAATGTTCACACCTAATTCACATTTTCGCTTGGACTCCAGATTATGTTGAGAGTATCATTTCTCTCTCTGACTCAATGAAGAATGGGAAAATCACGCAAGGTTCCATGTATCAATTCTAATTCTCAAAATGTCACTTGAAATGCACAAATAGCCCTAAAGTCCCATAAGTTTTAGGGATAATTTCACCAAGGCCTTCAAAATGAACTTATTTATTGTGAGGGTTCAATACATGCTGAAAATACATTGCAGGTCCTGAGGTCCAAGTCCTTCAATGTAATACAATTTTATGTATCAATTACCAAAATGTCCTTGCCTATCCCTCTCTTTTTGTTTTTTTTTTTTTTTAGTGTCCCTGTCACTGGTTGCCTAAGGCACCTTGCTGGTGGGAGGCTACTACAGAGCTCCAACACGGGTGTGGTTGGTCAAACATGGGTAAAATGTGCTAAGGGACAAGGGCAGATTTTGAACCTTGACCCTTAATTTCTCAAAATGAAGAAATCATTGAGCCAATATACATTGTAATATAATCTATAGTGCAAATTTAGAATTTTATTTGTCATTGTATATCATGGATGTCTTTTTTGTTTATATCCGAATAATTACTTATAAATATTCAAACATAATTTGTTCATACATAAAAATAGTTAGAGAGAGTTATCCTAGAGTCTCATGTAAATATTACAAATACTCTTAAGTTCCCTTGAATGGTCAAACTACTCTGAAGTCTCTACAGATTGATGATAGATATGTTTCATAAAATTTTTATAATTTTTATTATAATATATATATATATATATATATATAAAACATGTAAATTTAAATCGTACAAATTAACAATCTAGACGATTCAAATGCTCATGCCTGATGAGCACCAAAATCAAATGTGTTTTTTCGTGGTCATCCCTGCATACATGACCACTCCAGATATATTGTGCATCTGTTATAAATATTAAATAAAGTGACTTGATTCATTATTTCTCGAACTAATGTTTAATTAAAATCATGTTTCCAAGCATGCATGCATATCGGTGATGCTGCACGTTCCTATAACTAGTAGCTCCATCGATCACGTCCAAATTTATACATGCATGTTTTCCAAGCAAGTCATGCAAATTGAATCCCATTGACTTTAATTTAGATCCGATTTACTTGCCCATGCATGTAACTTCGCAGAAATGCCTCTACGATATAGCTAATTTAGTGACTTCACTCAGATCACATCTTCTCGCTTAGGACTATTTAATTGCTTTTACATGGGCAATTTATATTTTATTAATGGGACACCATGTTTTTACCTGATTTTTATTTTTTACTCTTCTACATTGCTATTTTGAAATAAATAATACCGATACAGTCCTTGAATTTCCATGACATTATCATCAATATACTTTATAATGAGGGGACTCCAAAGGATTTCATCAAATTATTAAAGACGACAAATATTATTTAGTTCAATTAGTAAGGAACAGTTACATGTACCTGTGAAGATATTATTAGCTAGTACTCCTCAGTTTAAAAATGTAATCACATTAATAAATTAATTATTTGTCTTTAAACTAACACCATCTTTTTAAAATTTATCCCTATTTAATAGTGTATTTCATTCGAAAATAAATATTAAATAATTTATTTATTAGAGGCTCTTTTGAAAAAAAAAAAATACTTTAAAATACTAAAAATGTCTTATATTTTTTAACATTTAACCTCTCAAAAAATACATTATATTTTTAATAGAGAAAGTATAAAATTTATAAATATTATTTGAGTCGTGAAGCATGTCCTTTATTTATAACCCAACTCATCTAAATTTTTTAAAAATAAGAAAAAAATGAATTTTTAAATAAAAAAGATGATTATCAAGTGGGAAAAACATTACACTACGAAAATAAGTAGAACAAATTTCTTTTGAATTCTTTTAATAAAACAACACAATTTTTTAATAATTATTTCGAACCGTGCATGGATCTTGCCCAGTCCAATTTTAATACTCTCCAAAAACCTAAATACAATTTTAAAATTGTTAAAGAACATTTTGTCTCTTAACTATTTGTTTAGAAACATCTGATATGTTAAATTTATTTATGGTGCAATTTCTCCTATCAATATTAAAAAAACAGTGCGATCAGCAAACTACCATTAAAAAAAATTAACTTTGATAGTTATTTGACACAAAAAAAATATAGAAAATGACCCAAAAAATTTCAAAAATATGATACAAATATTATGTTTAATCTATGAAAAAGATCATGTTGTCATTTTGATCAGCTACGGGGTGATTACTAGATTATCATTGCTAACCACAACACCTGTAAGTATTAATACGAAATATGCTGAATCTTTTTTTTTTTTTTGAGAAGTCGTTTGATAGGCAATATTATTTAGTAACATGGATTTCAGTAGGCTGTTCCCGGAGAACAATTAAATTCCAGTTGGATCAGGATTAAAGCGCGGAATACGGGTCATTGGAAGTCCGTTTTATTTCCTGGTCTTAGCCCTTCATTATTTTTCTGAAAATATAAGGAGTAGGCCCTGCTAACAACAAGGAATGTTTCTCCGAGGTACTGAATACAATAATGGATAAACCTCTTCAATTAAATTAAACATGCACAAAAACCTGTAGGCACTTGCTTAAGTGATACAAGCCTACTACTCACAGTTGGTGTGTCAATCCTTCATCCTAATTACAATTTTGAAGGTATCTTATTTCAAAATATTTTTCGTTTAAATTTCGCAAAGAAAACTAGCGGGGAGATACGCGCACGGTTACAAATGTGTGTGTGTGTGTGATTTTGTTTGATCATCGCTCATCAGCTTAATTAACCCTATCTCCTCGGCCAACATAAACTATTCGAATGTTTGATCAAGATTTGAAACTATGGTCTCCAAACCCTTTATGGAACATTAAACTTGAAAATTCTCGCCATCACTAAACTTAGCATCTCAGTTAGCTGTAAACACACATATATTATGGTCTCATATCATTTAACTGGCTCATCAGTTCGTCAGCCCTCACAGTGTTCAAGTCCACTCGTGAGAATTAAGATTAAAAAGATGTTCATGTTCAATCTTACAATAAAGAAATTACGTATGCCCCTTGCACATATGAAATGCAGCTTCAGCTACTCGCTGCATGAAGAAACCAAATTAAACAGAGATGCAAACACACACACACACACACACACAGAGATCCTTTATAAATAAGTTGTTGATCATTCCAGAAATCTCTAGATATAGTGCGGCGGAGGGGGAGGGGGAGGAAATTGGGCTGCAGGTGGTCGTGGTGGAGGAGATTTGAAAGCTGGAACTCTATGAACAGACCCATTCGGTGGGGGGGTGGTTTACTTGGCAAAGATCCTGCCAGTTTTCTCATTGTCATGCCTGCACATGTTCAAATCTATGAGTTCTTCCACTTAATTATATTAGTCATTAAGTCTAGCTAATTTTATTCGATGCAGGATTCATCACATCAACTAAAATCTACTTACATTCAAACATCCTAACATTATATGCTTACCTTAGATATATACCATATCATAATTAATTAAGGTGAGTACGACCAATTTTGCGTTTTCCATTTGATGAACTACACAATAACTGTATCATGTAAATATAAGATTGTGATAGATACAGACGCATACCCGCATTAGCGTTGGCGCACTGCAAGAGAAGAGGGGAAACGATAAGTAGAAGAGCCATCAGAAAACGGTATAGAGAAGACACACCCATCGATCTCTATTCTTCTTGGTTATGGATATGTAGCTTTACCTATTTGCTTCAATGCGCTCAAATTTATAAAGTTTCCAAAGTAGATACTTATATCGACTTGGATTTGAATAGTCATATGTGAACTTGTGCATGTTTTCAACATGTAACTTTACAGAAAAAGGTCCATTAACAATATTGATGTTTGAACAACCTAGATATAGAATATTATTGGTGGACATATATAGTGTAGCACCATTATTTGTCTGCCACAACGCGCTTTCTTATACAATGTTTATTATAAAAAGGAAGCCAGGTCAAACAAATTAGCAGAAAATTAAATTGTTGGGTAGGCAAAAAAAATTCATTAGTATAATGCTAAATATGAAATAGTCATGTTATTCATGAATAGTAAATATGACTTTTTGTTGGACTTTGTATCATACACCAAACCCACGTGTTATTGAAAATAAAAAATAAAAAGATATAAAATGTTTTCTCAAGGTTAAAGCGTGATCTGGATCAAACTCTTCCAGATTAAATGACTACGGCAATGGCATAAAGGTCCTTGAAGGTTTTAGTCTTCTAAATTACAGCTTTGATTGTGATTGCAATTGCAATCTTATTTCAAAAATACCTAATCAACTCTCATTTAAACATTTAATCCGAGGACAACAATACCAAACCATTTGAGGAAAAACATTTCTTTTGGTAAATTCAATAAAAATGTTCTACCTATTATCATATTTTTTTTTACTTGTTCTCTTAGCATTCTACAAACTACAATTTATTGTTTAACTATCTATTTAATCAACATTTAATCTGTCATATTTACAATTTAAACAATTTTCAACAACAATGAACTTCAACTTATTTGTCAAGAATTATAAATTTAAGTAATTCTAAGCAACTTATAACACATAACAATTCAAAAGAAAGAAACGCATTCTAAATTTAAGAATTCTGAATAATTAAATTATAGAATAAAATAGAATATGTGTATATTATACAATATTATGTGACTAAAATAAAAAATAAAGGAAATCAACACTCTCATGCATTCTATTAATTAAAATTATATTAAAACTTCCTTAGTTGAAGTATATTATTTTTCAATTTGTAAAAATTAGAAAAAAAATCAGCAAAGTCTCCCTATCAAATTAATAAGCGGTCCCAAAATTTCAACAATCACAAAATGAAAACCATAACAAGATTCATCCTACAAAAAATCGTATTTATTTTTCTATATGTAAAAATTAAAAAAAATTGGTAGAGTCTCCCCTTAAATTATGGATCCCAAAAATATCAACAATCACAAAATGAAACAATCCAAAATCCAAACAGCAACAACAATCACAGCATTGGAGAATAGAAATTTTTCTACTCTTAACAATGTAGTGTAAAAAAAGAAATTATGTAAGAACAAAGATGGAAAACTTGAAATGTAAAACTTCATATTTACAACTTCCCATCTACTATGAATTTCATAAATCAATAAAAAATAATTAAAAAAATTGAAACTCACTTGGAACCAACAGAGGAAAGAAATGTGGAAACTCAGAAAATGAAAAAACCCTAATAATGGAAGAGGAAGAGGAGAAGAAGAATCTACCACTCTAATGTTGAAATACGAAGAAGAAGAAAATGTTAAAGAAAAACATCAACCAACAATGGAGGAGGAGGAGAGGAACAAGAAAGGAGAGAAGAGGAACAACACCGTACCTATACCCACAACGATGGATGATGGTGAGCGGCAGACAGAACGGCAGCAGACGAGACAGACAATGGAAAGAAGAAAGCTTTGAGAGAAGAGGGAGAGACAACATAGATTCCATGTTGGTTACGTGGATAATCGACGTGGAATCTAGTTTCTACGTTAGTTACTCGTTTTAACTAATGTGGAAACACGTCAATTTTTTTTTTTTTCAAATCATTGAAGTTTACCATGTTGGTTTTATTTATAACCAACATGGTAAATACATTGCACGTCAATTTTTTATGAAACTGACGTGAGATGTTCTTCAAAAAATTTATACCCATGCCACCTCCTTCTTTAACATTTGTTTTTTGTAAAACTAATATTAATTACCAATGTTAAATGTCTACTTTCTTGTAATGCTTTCGCAAAATAATTAAGGAAAACATAAAAACGGATATTCCATCTCAACTAGAATTTTTTCATATTGTGAAGAGATCGGATGACCACAAATCAAACCAAATGATGAATGATGAATTTGATGGAGGATGATTAGCTAGCTACCAAATAATTTTTAAGACCTAGTGTTATTATCAAACTCAAGCTTTACATGAAATATAGGCAATAGTATATATTTGATCCCTTAATTTTATAAACTGTATGTTCTTTAATCCTCTAATTAATATTAACATCGTCAATTTCATTAACAAAAACATGCTAACATTAAAATTTTAAATGTTAATATAACGATTTCAATTTTTTAAATATCAATGAATGATATAAAAAATTATTATTTGAAACTAACAGTATTTGGATTAAAAAACTAAAAATATATCTTATAAAATTAAAGAACCAAATTGAATATAAAATTAGACTATCAAATGTATACTCTTGCTTGAAAGTATGTGTAATTTAGTTTTAACAATGCCTGTTAAATAGCCCAAATCGTATTTTATTAGAGAAGCATAAAGGAGCCATTGATGTCGCGTGGCATTAATGTCGGGTGAGTGTGACATTTATTCCTGTTAAACATTTTATGGTAATACCAATATGATTGCGTCGAAACTAGTCTCTAATAATGTGGTGAACCACATTATTTATTAGTTATCAACCATTTCCACTACTGAAGACGGACATAATATATATAGCACACTATTTGGAACAATATATCGATATAGCTTAGCGTTTCAAAAATATATGATGAAGAAGATGACCAATTTTTAAGACATAATAAAACTTTTTAATATTTTAAATTTGTTTCTCAATTATTGATTTGGTCTTTAAAAAATTAATCTATATCAATCAAGTCTGTAAAAATTCATAACCATACACAACTAATCCCAGTACATGGTTTGAAGGAGAAATATCACCATAAGATCTAATAATGTGTGATTATCAAACTTTAAGAACTTAATTGATAAAAATTAAATATCAGGGACCAAAGTGTTAACTAAACTAAATTTGAGGTACTGAAAAGTTTCATTTTCTTACTTTTTAATATCAATTTGGTACATTTCTTTAGTGCCCAATGCCTACCACGAATTTATAACTATTTTTACATAATTTTTATTTGTAATTATTTTTAAGTATAAGAATTATTTTTATTTTTTATTCTTTAAAATTATAAGAAACGTTGAACAATTTTTACATAAATTAAGAAAATTAAAATAGTTAAAATTAAGTATTCTCATTAAATAGTATACATTTTCAATCATTTTTCAAAACTCTCTCTCTCTCCCCGCCTCTCTCTCTCTCTCTATATATATATAATTAAAGGTGTTTAGTAAAAACAAATAATTAATACTTTTTAAAATATATAAAGTCTCTTATAAAAAGCATGGGAGGGTAATATATATATATATATATATTTCCTCCCTTAAAAAATATAAAACATTTTTTAAAGAGTTTGATGTTAAAAAATGTAAGGCATTTTTAGTGTTTCGAGATGTAATTATTATTTTTTTATCAAAAGTATTCTATTGATAAATAATTTTATATTTATTATAGATTGTTTAATAGGAGAAAATATGAAAAAATAGAGTTAGTTTAAAAGTAGATAATTACTTTATTGGGAGTAAGATTCGATTAAAAATAATTTACATTTTTTAACTGAGGGAGCATATATATTTGAGGTTGACACATTCAGAAAAAGATCCCTTAATTTCTTTGAAATGAAAAATGATTTACAGAAAAACTTGATATATATGCTCACCCCTAATTGACATGGGGCAACATCACTAAAATGAAACATATAAGTATAAAGAGACATTGTAAATGTCAACGTTGGATTCAAATTAATCTAATATGGTACATTTTGGTATTTAAAAAGAAGCAAAAAAAAAACAAAGAAAAAATAAATGTTTATTTTAGTATATCTATTAAAGGAAAATATAATCAATATGATCCGCTGGATATATTTTGATCGATCAAGCTGCTTTGTTCAATATTTTTTTTCTTTTCCTTCATTTTTTTTCCTTTTCTTTTTTTGCTTGAGGGGTTGGAAACATGCAGTACGGTATTTGGGTAAATTTTAATCGTTTTTCTTACGTTTCTCTGGCCACGTATATGTTGAAACATGCATTACAATAATCCTTTCTTTGAAATAAAAAATTATTTATGGCAAAACTTGAAATGTTGACCGAGTATGCTCACACCTAATTGACATGGACTTGTGATGGCAACATCACTAAATAAAACACATAATTAAAGAGGTCATTGTCCTTGTCAACGTTGGATTGCTCAAATGTTCACACCGCATTTTCGCTTGGACTCCAGATTTAGACTTGAGAGTATCATTTCGCTCTCTTCTCCGAGTCAATGAGAAATTAAGGATATTTAAATTTTGCATTTAAATAAAAAGGTGCAGTAATTAAAAGAATAATATATTTAGTTTAATACAAAAACTAGTAATCATATACAATTAAATCAAATAAATAAATATAATGGATGAATGAAATTGAGGGTGAAAAGAAATATTAAAAGAGAGTATTGGGATGATCTGAATTGGTTAATTATCCTATAGTTCCTTCAAGCATATTGCTACCAAGAAAAGCTATTTATTTATTTTAATTTTTTAATTAGACCGTTAATTGAGACTGGTTCAATCTTCAAATTAGTCCATATAATTCGAACTCTAAGAAGATAATTTTTGTTAAAATTTATGCGCACAAAAATTCACTGTACCCGATCGGTGAAACTCATACTCCCTTTATTTTTAAAATAAGAGCAAATTTTAAATAACTCATATATACTCTATCCAGTCCCTATTATAGGACATCTTATAGAGTGATTTTTTGACACTTAATCTAAGATATATGAAAATTTATTTATTACCATTTTCTAATTTTAGCCATGTTATGAATTTAATTTTACAGCTCATTGTATATAGTGTATC